TAGTATCTTAAGCTAAACAACTCAACTAACTAAAGACAATAACTCTATCGCGGGGGGAGCGTGTGTGTCTGTGTCAGTGCCACGTTACGTTCTTGACATTTTGTTTAAAATGTTTGCTCTGCATTTTGGCAAATAGCCGCAGCTCAACATCAGCTTTCAGCTTCGACGGTCTCTAATAGCCAGGCCAAGACGGGCTGCCTGCCGGCGGAATCCGTGGGTCGTTCACCGGGAACGGGCAGCTTTTCGGGGCGGACTGTCTAAACGCCTTTGAATTTTGCGCTGATTTGACACAAAAATTTGACGTAAAGTAGTTGACGCTCAGCCGCTTTGTAGTCAAAATGCAAATTGTGCATGAATATTTACCCCTCGGCCTGCCCTTCCACCAACAAAAGGTTTTTGTTTACGCTTGTTTTGCTATAACTACAATTTCGGGAATACACCCTTGGGGGGGAAGAGGTAAAGTTTTCCGCCTTCTTTGGGTATCCTGTTATAAATTTCGTATCCAGCAGATACTTACAACAGTTTTGTGGCACTTTGCCTACATGTGGATGCCATGGAAACAAGAATACTCCAAGTGAGGCAGAGTGTGGGAAAAATGGGCACCGAAAATCAACAACTTGTATTGCAGAGAATTCGCCTTACTTTGGTAAAAGTTTCAGGCTGGAAAAACTTTACTGCAAGTAATGATTGTCAAAAGAATTCGATACTGGAAAAAAAGGACTTTTAACTTACAGACCAAAAATTGCTGGTCTCAAAATACTTGATTAATTTGTTTGTTATTAATAATCTCTATCTGGAAAGGTCTAAAAGTTTTAACTGGTTTTATTTTTAAATTTGCTAAACCTTTTTAAAACCTTTCAAAATTATTCTTCCTGAAACTTCCAACCTTTTCTTAAGAGTCTTCTCTATATCTGACGCTGGAGTCCACACAGATCTTTCTTATTCCATACCTTATTATACATCTTAATCTCCCCTATATATATATATCTCACGTCTTCCCCTGACATTGATTAACCAAAATATCACGCCTTGGCGCTAATTGAACATTTAGCTTAATGGGAAAACATAAATTGTCGAATATGTTTAGCACAAGGCGAAGCCCTCATAAAGTGGAGACTAAACCAGGTTCCCCCAAGAGCAGCCCTGTATTATTTGTGTTTTTATAGTGCCAGTGATTAATGTTCGCAATAAATAGTATAGGCGAGAAAAACCCGAAACTAAATACGGATGAGTCAAGTGGGATTGCCGATCGATATTCAATATCATTTCATTTCACAATGAGGCCGCAAAATGCGAAATCATTTTTAAACGCATTTCGGAAATGTTGAGGGCGCCTGGTTGGGCTTTTTAAATATTTTTAAAATTAATTAAAACTACACGTACGTGGCGAAGGCTGGTCGCCTTTTATTGGAATATTTCTGTTCAATGGCGGTCACGTGTGATTAGATGCGCATTTTTTTGGACCAGAGATGATCTAAGCTGACAAAATTTCCAAAAAATTTAATAAAATGCCCATCTTATTCTGGTCGATGTTATTATTATGATTTTCGTTTGAGCAGAAATATGGGTAAACAGGTTCCCACAGAAACAATATAAACAAAGTCTCGGCTCGAGTCACCTGTGAGTATGTTTATGAATTTCAAGCGAAACGAAATAAATCTTTTGTAAAAGTTGCAGAATTTTTTTTCGCAACTGTGAATAAGGGTTTCCCGCCAGACTCTCTCTTCAGAAGAAATAAAATATATATTTATTCAAGATGCGTCAGCCACAAAATACTTCAAGGGGCGACCGGAAATTGGATGGTTAAGTCATCAGCGAAGCAATAATAACTTCGTTTGTTAATTGTTTACCTTGTTGAGTGGCAGCTTGTTTCAAAATGGCACTTTTAATATGCATTAAATATATATGTATAACAAACGGTAGGGTAAGCCAATAAGGTAATAAATTGAATTTATTTGAAGTTGTTCATTGATTTTATGCTTGTTTTTCTTTCATTAAAAGTTTTGCATTTATTTATTTATATTTTGCTGGGCCAAGCAGTGACCAAAAAAATATATATATATTTCACCTTTATTGGTTTTAAGCAAACATATTCATGAAGTTCAAGTGAATCGAGCAGTTGGGGTTTTTTTCTTTTTTTGTCAAAGTCAGTAGTGACGTAGAGAAAAAAATTAAACACGTTTCCTGGTAACCAATGTGCAACAAACTAATTGATTTAATATTTAGTGAGCGAAAAAATGCCCGAGAGTGAATCAATTTCTCGCCTATTTATTCATGGGGATTAAATGCTCATAACTCGTTTATGTTTTCACTTTTTACGAGATGAGCAATTAAAGGAAAATTACATGTAGGCAGCCAAAGCTAATTTCTGCTGGTTTTTACTGCTGGATATGCTTAGTCTTTTAGTTTTTATTTTTTGAGGCACTCTACGTAAGAGGTTTGTGCTTTGGTTTTGGTTTTGGTTTCGGTTTTCAAAAGTGCCCATTACTTAGCCATGCAGACCGTGTTTCTGTAGCCACGCAATTTGTGCAAAATGCTGGAAGCAACTGGCGACGCTCAATTCAAATTCAACTCATCTGGCATTTCATTCATAAAAATTCACAAATATATTTGTATTTTTTGAAGATGTGTACGAGTTGGATTTTGGCATTTATTTTATCGTTCGTCTGCACTACTTTAAATGGGTCCACGTGCCGGGTTTGTGGGCGAGGAGCGTCAGGGTTAGGCGCGGTAATGAGCATTGTTAAAATGCGTTAAATGATTTTTTGCATTTAGCCACTTTGGCTTTTGTGGTCTTTGCCTTGTCTTGGCCGCTTTTGCAAGCCATTTTTGCACTTTGCCTTTTAATATTTGCCCACTGCCACCTTCTTTATTTATTATGACTATTTTCTGTTTGTTTTTCACTCTAAACTGGCCAGCAGGAAGTTCCAGCCATAAGGTGGGGTTCTTAGACAAATATATTTGATATATATTCTTAGTAATACTCTAGACAATGTTAAATAAATATAAATCACCTGAAATACACACATTTAAAACTCAAACTTAATAGATACATTAAAGCTCTTGGGGTAGAACGTCTAGAGTAACCTCATTTCAGGCCATAGAGTATAAATCATATTCCATATTATTGTTTTGCAAGGTGTTTGGCACACGTGAAAGATATACACTGTCGCATTAAGGCGAGAAAACACATCGCTGGACTATCATCAACACGCGACATTGTCCGAGCATATTGCTTAATCTCACGTAACAGAAATTATTCTATAATAATTCTCGGAGCTACGCGGTCGGACAAAAGATTTCGCATGCATTTAGATGTCTGATTTATATTTATTTGTGTGTGCATACATATATGCTATATGCCACTTGAACAACTCATCTAAATGGACCATCCTTAACCTTGAACCTGCAGAGATGCGGACAAAAGTTAATAATTTAAGTCAACTAATTGCGAGCCATAATAAACCAAAGTGTATTAATGGGCGCCAGACAAGCTGCGAAAATTTTCTATAATCGCCGTGGGGCTCTTCGCTTAATTTGCAAAGAATCCCCGAGTGAATGTGCCAAAAATTGAGGAAAAAGATTTCAGATTTCAATACAATAGCTGTCGGAATTAACACACCATTATAGAGAAGCTGTCAAATGCAAAAGGAAAAAAAGAGGAGAAAAACCCACAAGAAAAGTTCACAAGCCACGGCTAAAAAGGCAGACACGCGTGGCTCGCCATTTGTTTATTGTTGATTTAGTTGTTGGATCTGATGTACATATAGTTGTAGTTGGATATATAGCCCGGCAACAATGCCATTAAGCTTAATGTTTATTATCTATACAACAAGCCTACATGGAAACATGAAACATGAAACAAAAAACGGTCGGGAAAAAATTGTGACAAGTAGCAATGAACCTTGTAAGGTCTGGGCTGCTGTGCCACCGAATGGCATTATTCCATCTGCCCCACACATCGCTCTGTTACAATGGCAACGGCAACGCCAAGTCTCATAAATTTTGAATACATTTCAAACACCTGTAATCGTAAAAATCAGCATTTAGACGACAGTCAAAAAATGCAGACAGTGCACGACACATAACACACTGAAATAAAGAGCAAAATGTGATAATAGACGCGCTTCAAAGAGCTTGTCAGGTGTGTGTATATATATACAAATATATATATCGCATAGTTAACTATTGAACAGGTAACTGAACTATGTTTATAAAGCGAAACAATCTTTGAATCACCAATATTTTTAATCAGAAAAATTGTGCTAACAGCTACTCAGATTTAAAAGAAACCTAAGGGTAATATATATTTATTAGCTAAAGTGATTTTTCAAGAAAACTGATCACAAACAAATCACAGGGTTTGCCAAGTTTATTTAAAGCTAGGAAGAAATTTTGAAAGGGTATTTTACTTTGATTTTTATGTAAAGCAAATTAAAGTCCGCTTTCTAAATATAGCTTTAACATACAATATACATGTTGAGAGCATTTGATGTATTATATGTATTTTTATAGTTATATTTTATGTATTATATTATATTTTTTCATATATTTTATCAATGGAATTTAAATAAGACTCCTATTTCTTTTTGCTCTGGATTAATTTATATAGTTTCTTACACAAACTCATTATGTTTGCCGGTCACAAATATATTTAACAACCAGATCAATTTATTTTAATTAAGTTTTCTTCGAAACTTTTATCTTAATTAATTTAATTAAAAAACAAGCTTTTTTTAATTGCCTGATTTCTTTTCCCCACAACCCTATATTTACTCCCCATTAATATGTATATTTTTGGCGCATTTTCCCCCTCTGTTTTCTTTGCAGACTGAAAATCACCAAGCTAAAGCCAAACAAATTTGAAATTTCTTGTTCAATAATTTCACTCTTGGCAACCGACAGTCAACAACTTGTGTATTAGTTTCATTTTCGTTGTTATTGTAATTTATGAAAAGTGTCTCCTAGTTTGTTGTAACTAACACCCGTACAGTACTTACATTTGGAGCCGAAATAAAAAATATTTCGCGCTTTTTATATAGATATATTTTTGGATTATCGGCGACGCCGAAGAGTTGCTGCCTCGCTTTTGGCCTTACCCACGTTTCTTGCGTTTTCTTTTGCGTTTTTTATTTTATTTTTATTTATATATTTCTTCTTTTTTGTTTTCTGTATTTTTTTTTTAGATATGTATATACCATAGGTACATGTTATGTTTTAGTGCTTTTCCAATTTCTTATTCACTTCATGTCCGCGACCGCACACAGACACACACGCACAGCAGTAGCAGTAGTTGTATTGTAGGGCTCGTCCCGCTTACGGAGTACGCACTGTGTGTGCGCCGAGCTTGTTATTGGCCGATTTTAGCCGATTTTTAAAGACGATTTTAGCCGCGATTTCCAGCCGCGCCGTCAACGTTGAGCGCTCGAAATCTCGTTACTAACTAAAATAAACGAAGCGCGGGTCCGACACAAAAAATCGACATCAGAGCTGCGATGTTTGCCTTTGGTTGTTGTTGGTAACCAAGCTCTCTCGCACACACACACACTCGGCACACTAGGCACACACACTGAATGCACGCCTCAGCTTCGAACGGCGGCAAGTTCAAGTCGCAATGTTAGGCTTGAGCGGCGATGGCAGATCGGCGACTTAACAGCAGGTTTTTAGATAGTTTCATTTTTAAATTTAGTCAGTAAGAAGATTTAACTAGTTTATAGGATTTTTATAATTTTTTTTGATCAGTTAAAAATGAGGTATTACTAAGATTATATCGAATTTTATAGCACGGGTTTTACTATTATAGTGTAAAAAGCAGTGAAGGAGTCATTTTCGACCCCATAAATCATATATATTCTTGATCAGCATCAACAGCTGAATCGATCTAGGCATCTTAGGCAGAAAATTTTTTTTTTTCAATTTTTTCATAATTTTATAAGAAGAAAATTTTATGTTAAAATTGTCAAAAATTTGAAAATAAAATAAATTTTTTTAAATTTTATATTGAGTATGCAGATTTATTAACCAAATAAAAACTAGCATAGGAAAGCTTTCCGATTTAAAATTAATGTATTTTTGGCATAGTTATGAATGATTTTCTGAATATTTAAGACTAGGCATAATGTCTCAGTTACCTAGAAAATATTCCTATGGTGATGTTACTGTATAGTATTTCGAACATTTAAAATGCTAAGAATCTAAGAACCTAAGTTATAGAAAATGTAGCTTTACAATTAATTATTAAATGCCTGAGTTAAGGCCCAAAGTTGTACGACCTCATTAAAATAGAACTCAAATATATTTTTATATATTTTTTTTATTGCAAATATTTAATTTATAAATAAACTATTCTTGGCTTTTTTACCTCCAACTGAGGCAACACTGAGCTTGAGCCGGCTACGTCGGCGCCCCATATAAGTTCGAATCGAACTTAGCAGCCCCAAGATCGAAGGCAAAAGTGGCAAGCCGGCAAAAAAAATTAATAAGTTGCTGTTGCTGAATTATTGGCAACATGTTGCTTCCGTTGGATATCGCTAATCATAAATATAAATTAATATATTTTAATCTTATTTCCTACATGCTTTTAATTTATTAAATATTTTATTTACATTTTATAGAAGCATTTTCAACCCAATATTTAACTTTCAAGCCCCGTTTGATTTTGGCATATTTCAAAGGAATATTTCGACAAGTCCTTGGCCAGAATATTAAAAATTCCAGCTTCCCCGCTGGCTGTCGACTTTGCACCTTGGTGGATTTTATAGACCATTTTTTTTGTGGTTTTAATATTTTTTTTGTTTTGTTTTTGTTTTTTTTTCTCTTCTCAACTTTTTGTTGCCAACGGCAAAGTGAAGCTGTGCCGATGACGTCTGCGTCGATTTTTCCCGAACTCGTTTGCTTACTCACACACTCGGAATTATGTCAGGAATGTTGGTGGGACCCGCCCCGGCCATCCAAAACGTCCAAAGATCCAAACATCCAAACGGTGGTTGTTGTGGCCGTCTGAGATTGCCCGAAAGTCGGTTGATTAATTTCGGAATCGAGAGTGTACACACGACGAGAAAATAAGCAGCTAATTTTAATGGAAATACTTAGGAAATTTATCAAATTTGTTGCTTGCCTGAGTAAAGCGGTTGACATAAGTAATAAGTAACATCTGTTTTTTTTTTAATAAATATATATTTTCATATATTATAAGCCCTTCATGGTGACTAATAACGCCTTGTGTTTTTCTGCTAATATATTTAAAACATTTTAGAAGGTTTTTGTTTGACAAATCATCATAAAGAGCTAAAAACGTTTCTGACATAAAATTTAACAAGTTTTGTGAGAGTTCTCTCCTAAATCCTAGACATAACAACTTTCTGTCCCACTATTTGTCATAGTTTTAAGAATAGATGTAATAATATTATTTTTCCAAGTGTACAATGCAGTGTGTATGGAGCAGAGTGGGCCCAAAAGCCGGTTAACTTATTAGAGTAACATTTTTGGTCACTTGGAAGGCGCGTGCCAAAGTCTCTCTGCTTTCAAAGTTCATCACCTTCCGGAGAGGGAGAACTGCATTCCATTGGGTTAATCGGGGCTTATCCCGCTCAATTAACCCCTGGCTGACTCACGTTTCTTGGGGCCAGAAGATCAGGTGATTCCGATGCCTCTTAACAAAAAAAAAAAACCCCAATAAGCCATTGACACCAGTTTACGACAATTTCTGCAGAGTTTTACAATCGCTTTTCTGGTTTGCTAAAAGCCAACTCAAGACTTTTTATTTTTATGTTTCGGTCAGCATGTCCACTTACCTTGTCACCTTTAACGTAAAGAAATAATCCAGAAACAGCAGAAATATATTTTTATACTTATTTCGCCACGCGACTTTATCAATTTCTCTGAATTTGCATTCAGCTAATCCCGGGAATGATAATGCAAGACAGCAAAAGGTCAGTGAAACCTGGAAATCGTATTTAATTTCACGTGCCTCCGAAAAGAAAAGTAATATATTTATGAAAAATTATTAATTTTTGAAGTATATGCAGTATTTTTAATGTGATGAAATATTTGTATAATTTACTACAGTAAATCATATGTAAAATAGAAAATCAAATCAAAATACAAAATATATTTTATTTGTTAACCTTTCTTCCCTTAAAGATTCTAAACTGCACTTAAACCGAAACAATTTTGTACCAAAATGTCTTGATTAAACCCCTTGATTTCGATTTCCTTAGCAATATCTTTCCGTTTCCTGAGTATCTGCCATTGACATATGTCAAAACCTGAAATATGAGCCTGGGTCGAGTTGATTGAAAGAGATACGCGTGCTCTATCCTAAAAAAAAAGTTAGAAAAAATGCGGGAAAAATGTCAATCAGAAGTCAAACCGCGAGTTCTCACTGCTGTAGAAATTTCCGCTAAAAAAAATACATAAAACAAGGGGTATTCTAAATGAAACGTAAAGAAACTTAACATTATATCGACTTAGATAATACTTCAGAAGTCTGATTATTTCAGTTTTCCAGGAGGAAATTTTATATATTATAATGATGTTGTATATCAAGGATTTGTTTTGAAATCCAAGTCCCAAAGACCCAATGCTCTCCAACAAAAATGGGTGTTTTAAATACAAGTGTTATATATTTTTCCCCATCAGAAGTATAAATATTTTGTTTAAATCTCTAGAGTTTCCCCCACGTAGAGTCTGCCCTATATAATTTCCGGCATTTTGGCCATAAAAACAAATAAACAGGAATATAAAAAGGCAAAAACAAATATGGCATTTTGATGGACAATTCTCCATCCATATGGCGCAAATACCCGCACACCCTACAAATGTATACATATACACGACGAACAAGTCAAACAGAAGCCCGCCGAGCACTCACAATTCAATTTCAGCATTGAAATCAGATACTCCCGAGAGGGGGGAGGGAGGTAGGGAGGCAGGTAGGTAGCCAGGTGGGTTAGGTGGTTAGGTGAACCCCTTCGGTAGGAGTCAGACTGCTGTAGATGTTTAGAATTTCGCACAAGGTACAAATCTGTTAACGCTTTGAAACCGCAGACAGCCACCGGAATGTTGGCGCAGCCACAGAGCCATATCTCTAGTTCCGAGATGCACAGGGGCCTGAGATAACAAATTACTTTAAATAACGAAAAATTACCAGAAAAACATTTTTCTTTGGTTTATTTTAATATATGAAAGGTCTTATGTAGTTTTTGTGTTTTATTTTAATAGTTTTTCCGCCTTTACTCTCCTAGAACTTGAAATATTTGTAGATAAGAAAGGCTAACGATATCACAAAAATTATATTAAATTAATCAAACCTTATCAACATTTCTCTGTAAAATTGTTTTAATTAATATTTTGAGACTGTATATTAATTTATATTGTATCTCTTTATACAGAATTAAGATCAATTAACTAGCATTAGCTTCATGTTTATTCCATTTAATCAAAACTTTAAGACTGTACATTTATCAACTGATTTCCGTATTTAAACTAAATCTCAATTAAGACAATTTCTCAATACTTAAAACCACTGTACTTACTGCCTTTTCTCCAAACAAAAGCTTTATGCCAAATCCGGAAGGTAAAACTATAAGATTTAATTTTTTTTGTTGTGTTAAGTTTGGCATTGTCTAGCTGATATTATTCCCTTTTCGTAGAATTGAATAAGTCGCGGAAAAGAAAATCTATGAAAAGGGAAATGAGTATTTATTTAATAAATTGCATTTTCTGCACAATTTGCCAATCGAAATCAATTGGCTGTCGTTTGCGTTCCATTTTCTCTTTTAGCCAATTTAAGCCGCTTAGCCGGCTGCCGTATCAGGCTTAGAAATTGCTTTCGTTCCCCCTTTTTTTTTATTAGTATTAACAAACTGATGGATTTTGGATTCATTTATTTGAAATATATTTTAACATTTAGATTTAGATTTTGATTTCTGATTTGATTTGTACAGTAGAATCAATAATAAAATTGAATTGATTTAAATATTCTTCATATGTATAAGTAATGAACAAAGCGACAATATTTAATAGCATTTAAATATGGAAGAAATAAAAGTTAAATGTCTTGGTATTCTTCAGTTCCGGGGAGTTAATAATCCCAGTTCCTCATATTTTGATTAGTGCTAGGATATTAATCCCTTTTACGGCTGCGATGCCATGCGGATCCTGGCGGTGGCCCTCGACTTTGTGTGTATCTCAGCCGTTCGCAGCGTGATTCCAAAGATGTCCTCGTGGTAGCGACTCTCGTCCTAACAAGAAAATGTTTATATATATATACAAAATATAAAGAAAAAAAGGGCAACACAAAGTATGTAGATTTGCTGACATCAAATGTGTTTACATTGTTTTGCAACAAAATCGCTCATACGCCGTGTGTGGCTGCGGGGAGGAAGCCCTTCGTCACTATCGGTATTTATGACCCCAGCTTCACTATAAACCGCTCAGGAAGGATACTTACCCGCAATGTTAGCAAAAATGTCTCAACTTCCGCCTCGGTTTTCTGCTCCTTGCCGGCAATGCACTTCCTGTCAAGGATAAAAAACCGAGCATAAGTATAGAAAAAGAAATGTGCTGGGAATATAAAGGAAAGCTAGGAAAAACAGTTTATTTATTTGACGCTCTAAGATATTTATAGCAATCTCTGGGATGATAAAAAACACTTGTTTATGATTTAAAGTATGTTTTTTGGAGAGTATTAAAAGTAACCAAGTTGGACAACGTTTACTGGCAAACTTTGGGGGTAAATAATCAAGATATAATTACTATAAATAAATAAGCATATCAATTCTTAAACCTTTGTTCAGCTTCATAATTAACAGAATATAAATTAAGGAAAATTATCACTTGTAATTAGCAAACAGCTGCGAAACTGAAACTGGTCATCTGCTTTATTATCTGCCTTGGTTTTAATTAAACTAAACCGCTTATGATTACGAGTAACGAGTCGGTCCCCTTTGAAATGCCCCCCTGAAGGACCAAAGCCATTATGCAATATCCTGTGTGGGAGACGCCAGCCCTTATTTCACAATAAGGCACTTAATCAGGAGCTTTGAAAGAATTCCAACCAGAGGATGGTGGAGGCAGGAAATACATATATAAAGCCAAACGATGGCAAAATACCTGACCGTCCGGGGGGCATTAGGAAGCCGTAAATTCCCAGCTGGGAAAATCGGTGGAAAAGCAAATGTGAGGAAAAAAAAAGGGGAGCAACTCACAAAGGCAATCAAACTAAGGGCAAAACTATGAGGAGAAGTTAAGGGGCAAACCTTACCTGATGGTCTGGTACACATGCTCGGCCATTGTGACATCGCCGCAGACGTAGATGTGGCCCCGATCCTGGACAATCAGCTGGTACAACGAATCAAATTCCTGCTCAATCAGGTCCTGCACATATGTCTGCAATGCACAATGCGTAGTCGTTGTGGAATCAGAAAAGCAAATCATTTGTTTAAGCGTTACAGAGAAAAGAACATTGACATTGATTGGTCAATATGGGAAATTTAGAGAAAGATTGCAGGAGAGATTGATTAAACTACAAATCTTTTATACAAATCGAGAAATAGAAGGAGTCTTAAAATATAGATTTTAGACATATTTTCCAGCTTTCAGAGCTATGATAAAGGCATCCATATTTTTATCAAACAACTTATAATATATTTCGTAGGGTTCATAAAAGTTTTAAAATGATTCTAAACAACACATTTCTTGTGAAGTTTTTTTCTCTGTAAATAGCACACTTTTCGTCAGTTGAACTGAATAAACGAGGGGCAAAGTTTTCATTTCCTTTCACCGAAACTCACCTTTGGAATGGCCGGCTCCCTGGACAGTGCCAGAAAAACTCGATTCAGGATCTGGTCCTTCTCCAGCTGTGCCTTCTCCTCGGCATACAGGTCCACATCCCTATTGCGGCAGCCAAAGAAGAGCCACATCTTGGGCAGCGGTGCCACGGGGTCCAGTTCGCGCAACACCTGAAACTCCTGCCAAAAGGAGCGAAAGGGAGCGATGCCCGTGCCAGGTCCAATTAGGATGATGGGACGACTTCGGTCGCTGGGCAGATGGAAGCCCAGGGCGCTGCGCACGAACATGAAGAGCTCGTCGTCCGCCCGCAGTCCCGAGAGATAGTTGGAGCAGACGCCATAGCGTTCATCACCATCTCCGTCCTCCGAGCGATATTTGACAATGGCCACCGTCAGGTGGATCTCATCACTGACCCGACGCGGGGACGAGGAGATGGAGTAGAAACGCGGCTGCAGGGGCGTTAGGTGGGCCAGCAATAAGGGCGCCGGTGGACGACAGGAGGGGAACTCCTCCAGAACGTCCAACAGGTGGGGCAGTCGCCAGTGACGCCAGTCCTCATAGGCTGAGGAGTCATTTACCAGCAGCTCCAGTCGCTCCCGGTCCGCCGCATCCTCGCAGAAACCCGCCAGCAGGGTGAGCAGCTGTCTCGATGGCGGCGTGGTCAAGTCAAAGAACCGCACCAGGAGGTTCCTTAGGCTATCCGGCGGAATCTTGTCATGCGGCTCCCAGCATTTGAAGATGCCATTCGAGGTCTGCTTCTCCTTCAGCAGCTGCAACTGCAATACCTCGTCCGGATTATCCACACCCGCCAAGCGATCAATAAGACCGTCCACCAGCTGCTTTCGATTGGCCGGAAAGATGCCCACATGGTCGCCGGGCTCATAATCCAACCCCGGAGCACAGATCTCCAGCAGCATTGTGGTCTTGGCCCCCTCGCTCAGCCGGGTCAGGTTATGGGGCTGCGCCTTGATCTTGCAACAGTGCACCTTCTTGTTGTGATACTTGGACAGGCTGCTGTCTAAAGAACCCTTGCTGGGAGCCGGCACCAACCTTACCGTGTTTACTGTCAGGGATTCGTTTTGCAGGGCAAGTGAGGCATCCGTGAGACTCTCCTCTGGATCCAGGCAGAAGGTTTCACAAGCAAGCTAGAAACGGAATATGATATGAATTATAAAGCAGAACATAATAATAATAGAAATAGAAAGGTTCAAGTGCAGATATAACATACAGTGCGTATACGTAATTTTGATACTAGAGCAAATCCGTTACGTATACGCACTGTTGACTCTGCTTCATGCATTATTCTAGAAACATGGTTGATTTGATATTGAAAACATAATAATTATAGAAATAGAAACAATAAGTAAAGAGGAGTTGGTAATGGTGCAGAATACGCTGCGTATACGTAATCTTGGTAAAAGACCAAACCCGTTGCGTATACGCACTGTTGACTCTGCTTCATACATCATTCTAGAAACATTGCATACACAGATTCCCCAGGAAGTCTGTCACTCTACTGTCCACTCACCTTAAACACCTCGGGTGCCCATTTCCGGAAGGACTGCTCCTGGCCACACATCTCATCTCCGTAGGCCACCTTCAGCAGCCTCTCGCCACCCAGCTCCCCGAGTATGTTGTCCACATACTGTCCGAATGCACAGAAATTGGGATAGGCCGAGGAGCCGAGGGCAAAGACAGCGAAGCGGACGTTGGACAAGGGGCCGAATGTCTCCTCGGTGAAGGTGTCCGAGGTGGAGCCCCGCAGCGAGTCCCAGCGGTCAATGCGCTTCACCTGTTGCAGTGGCAGCTTCATGAACTCCTGCCGCGAGCTGGCCTTCATGAAGGACTTGGAGGAGCCAATGCTGAAACAATAAAGGGAGCAACAAAAAAAAAAACAGTCAGAGATGACAAAAGATACTTTGGATTTAATACATAATTGAGTTTTGATGGATTTTTTCCCCTAACTTCAGACCACTTTTAGATTAAAAATTAAAAAACTTAATGGCCCGATTGTGGCATCTCAGTGCGGCGACAGCCTCAAAGTATGCAGCGCCTCATTCAGTTGTATTTTTGTACTTTTCTTTTTTGCTTCTTTTGGAAAACAAGCCCAGAAGAACACTCAAATTAAAATGGGGCTTGTTAGGAGGAATATATGTCTCAGGCCCTTGGCTGTGCCGCTGCTCAGTTTCATATTTCACAAAAGACCGGGCCCTACCAACAAAGGGCTTGGAGGGTGCGCAGCAGCAGCAGCAGCAGAAGAAGGCGTGGTCAAGGGCGCCACAGGATCTAAACAATGGACAAAACACGCCAAAAGAGGCAACAATAAAGGAAGAAAAGCAGCGGCTGACAGCAAAGCATTTATTACGCTTGTCATTGGGATGTAGCAGAGAAATGTACAAAAACTGCCAAAATAAAATGAGCACACAAAGTAGGAGCAAGTTGCCGGGGAGGAGGGGATGAGGACTGGGGGACTCGTATCCAGTGTGGGGCAGCAGCAATTCACTAAAAAAACGTAATCATCCGCTCGTCAGCAGCTCGTCAGTGCGAGGTCCCTCGCAGCGTGTGAGCTGATGCCTTTCCCTCGGCTGTAAAACTGTAGTTTTCCCTCTTGGAAAAACCACCCGCTTGAGTGATGATTCAACAATGAACAGTGGCAGTTTTTAACGAAACCCAAGAACCGACGAAAAATCCGCTTTGGGCCCACAGACCGACCGAGACAGCAATGCCAACTGCAGCTGGCCATGGCCTTAGTCCGTTGCCGTTCTCTGGGCCATCTTGATGGCTCCTTTAAGCCAGATAGACAGAGACAGAGATAGAGATAGAGAGTTTCCAGTTCCATTGTGCGTTTAAAACTATTTGAGCTCCTGCTGCTCAGCTTGGCTTTGGGTCAAAGTTTATGGCTTTACCGGGGTCGTCGTCGTCGTAAAAACCTGTTGCCACGGGCTCAGGACTTCAGGACTACGGAGGACTCAGTACCCATCACGAGTGGCTGGCACGGAGCTTACAAGTTGTAAGAGCTTGTTAACAGCCAGTGATGGAGCAGACACTGCCAGGGATTATGGCCATGATGAGGCCACTACTACTACTACAACTGGGAAAGGAATATTAAATTATGTCATTACTCCTTAGACAGCTGCATTATAGTCAGACGTTTCTGAATTTAAACCACTTGGTTCAGTTTAGGTTCAAATCGATTTTAGCTTCGCAAACTCATCATGGGGAAAGGTTATTATGATTTAACCTTAACCAACAGGAACTCGATGCAGTTGCTTGGTAAATTTAACTTAAAGGATAATTAATTTATGCATCGACTGGAGAAGATATTGCATTTCAGCAGAAAAACGAATAAATACGGAAGGGAAACAAATATATAGATGGAAGGTTGAAAGTTCTTAGTTGCAACAAATATTATTCAAAGAGATTGGGTAGCTTTAAGTGATTAAAAACTATAATTTAAAAGATATAAACCAATCCAACAGCTCATATTACAATCATTGTATTTATTTCCTTATCACCCATAATCCCACACATTCTTCAACCATAGTAATCCCATTCCAAACTCCTTTGCCAGGACATGTGCAATTCATCAAGACAACAATAAGGACAATTCAACGCTCCGGCAATCACGGCAAGTTTTAAGCTGAGTGACGCCTATCAACTAAATCGCACTATCCTTAGAAAGGATGAGCAGGAGCAACAGGAGGAGGAGGTGCTGGCAAAAGGACTTGGCAAACAAACAGACAATCGGGTCGCAGGATCCCTTCGTGCCTCTCACTGCCTCCTGCGGCAACAGCCCTAAAAGTGCAGCAATGCGTGAAAAGAGTGTTGTAATTTACAGGTGTACTGCCGTCAGGTGGCAGGTGGCAGGTGGCAGAGCGAAACTATTGAAAGCGAAAGCGCTGGGAAAAGGGGATCAGCAAGGAGGGATATTTGGCCAGACTGAGTATCCTGGACTGGCGGCATAATTAAAAAGCTGCCAGGCTGCGCGCAGCGAATTGGCTGTAGTTTTTTGTGCTAAAGCACTGTTAGAAATAAATCTTAGAGGGCTGGAAAATTAATTTTTAAATCCAATATAAATGAAAGTTGGGAAAGAAATGAAGAAAACATTTTAAATATATGCTAAATACCTGCAGAATATTCTTTTAAATATTATTAAATTATTATACCCTTGTAAGGTACCATCATTTTAGTCAGAAGCTTGTTACGCTGTGAAGGAATCATTTTTGACCCTATAATCCATATATATTCTTGATCAGCATACACAGCCGAATCAATCTAGCTGTGTCCGGTAAAGATTTATTTCTTTTCAAAATTTTTAAAATTTTATAATTTATGTATCATTTTATACATCGTTAAAATTGTAAAAGTTTGATAAAAATTTGAATTTTAAATTGAGTATGCAGATCTATTAACCTAAGAAAAACAAACATAGGACAGCTTTCCGATTTAAAATTAATACGTTTTTATCTTAGTTATGAAATTTTAAAACTTGGATTTGTTGAATAAATTGTCATATACAAAATTCTCTAAATATTCAATTGATGGGTACATTTTAAGCTCAGTTATGATTTATTTCCGGTACTATCATACAATTTAATTGTAAACAGCAAGGGTATATAAGCTTCGACATCCCGAAGTTAGGTTTCTATTTTGTATTTCAGAAAACTGTAACCTTCTACATTAGCAGCATCATCCGTTGCTCTGCAAATCTTTTCTTTATTGATTTTTAAAGTTTCCATGCTAAACTCTCAGAAACTATTAATTTATTTCTAAAATAAACTTCAACTTGAACTGTTTTGTAAGTTAATTTTTGATTCTCCCAGTGTATCCTACCCGTACCCATTAATTTGCCAAGTTACCTAAAAGCTTGTAGGGCCGCTTTTTCGTTTTTCGTGTTTAGTTTTTTAATTTTTTTGCCCGTATTTATTCTGACTGCACTTGAGTCAAGTGGCGCTCTAACCAAGCAAGTTGTACTTGCAATTATTTGTGTGTGTGAAGGGCCACTGAATAGAGATAGATGCGCAGCATTTTTTGCAACCATTTCACTCGAGTGTTTGACCCCCGCCGACTGACTACTCATTATGCAAAGTGAAGTAATTGCGAGCTGATGGCACTGACGTCATCAGAGCGAAAACTTTGATAGAGAACGAAGACACACTTGATGACGTCGAGGGCGGGATAAGTGCCCCCCTCCCCTCGCTATGGGTGCAGTTTACAGGCAACAGGATGCGGATGTCAGGTGCTCACATCGTATCACATAAAAACACAAACACACGCACATACACAGAACACAACACAACCAAGGACTACACCTACCCACACACACCTGTCGCAGGTGACACTTAAGGGCACACACCCGCACACTGAGAGGCGTTGATGGCATAATGGACTGCAATTAAGTGAGCCTGAGCTGACAGTCACTTGAGTCAAAGCAGGGCAAGGCCAGGATGCTGGTATGTTGTGTCTTTTTGCAGATTTTTAAGAATTCCAACCATAGAAAGAAAGTGGAGACGAAATTAAGTGCCAATCTTGCATCAAGAAGTCACTGCTTCAATTTTCACTCCGAAACTATTTGAAAACTATTAAGCAACTATATGAGTTTCGGGAAAAGTTTTTGCCAGCAAGCGTTGAGCTTTAAAATTAAATCAATTGAGGCAAACAATTAACAGCAAAGCAATTTCCGAAGCGACAAAATGCCTCAAGGAAAAAAGGGAGAAAAAGCAAATACACGAGGCAAAGCTCACTCGAGCGTTTAAGCAGCCAAAAGAAAGTCCTTCAGCAGCAGGAGCAGTCAGGATCCAGCTCAGACTCACATGATGTTGCTGTTGATGCCTCTCCCCGAAGCGATTTCGGTATCGAGCTCAACAGCTTGTTTCTTTAAATTGCTCATACGCAGCGTGGGACAAGGCTCATTCTCATTCCCCTAATGCTGCCTCGGCAGAAACTGTGCAGGCGCCGAAATTTCGATTAAGGAGAGTGCTTTAATTTTTTGTACAAATAGCAAAGAGCTTAGACAAAATATTGCACAAAAATGTCAAGGGCTTTAGTAATATATTTGTGAAATCACTAAAAAGTTTTTAAGGTACTTCGAATGACTTAACTATATATATTTCTTATTAATCGGACTTTATGTTTTTAGGAAACTTTCTTCATAACTAACCTCACTATTTCCGCATTCTTTATATCAATATTTATGCAATGTTATGTTTTATAGGGTTTGAACTGACTCCTTTATCAAGAAAACTTAAAATATTTCCATTATAGGGACTTTAATTACAAGTTTTATTTGATACAACTTTTTATAGACATTCACCCTTTTTATATAGCATAACTAAGCCAAAAATTCATTCATTTCCCATGTTAGTTTTTATTAGGTTATTAAATCTGCATACTTAATTTAAAATTAAAAAAAATTTAATGTATCTTTTTCTGAAAAAAAAAATCGAAAAACATTTTCAAAAAATTATTTTACCCCGGACAATGCTAGAACGATTCGGCTTATGGCTTTATGGGGTCGGAAATGACTCCTTTTCCTTTAACAAGCTTCTGATTAAAATTATAATACCTTGCAAGGGTATAAAAATAGCTAAAAATCTATCAGAGTTACATCGAATATTCTATACTTGTAACAATTAATCATAAACCCAATGGCAGGAGGCATCCAATTAACGCACATTTTGGCTCGATTTCTGCGAAACGCTTCCGCCTAAATAAACCCGAGCTCTTTTAACAACAAAACACACAATGGGATCGTATGAAAGAAGTAATAAATCAAATTAATTGGTTTTAACAGCAGACAAAAAGAGTGAAAGCTCTCCTTAGGGGGAAGGAGCTACCCACTCGACATCCTGGCTAATGATTATAATAAATACAAATTAATAAACATTCAGTAAACAGCACGCACAATTATGTCGGATCAGAGATTCCCGGCCATTATTTTTCAATTAAAGTATCTCCCTTATCGTCAAAGCGGCCGCAGGACATTTTTTTAAGGCCTCCTGACTCCTGTAATTTGTTATCGAATTGGCTTCCATCCGTTGGGGGGCGGAGTGGGAGGGTAAGCTCCTCGAGGACTCGCCATATGAATTTTCAATTTCATTTTCAACAGGCAGCTCGCAACTCACAGCTTGTTCGGGTATAAATTTAGCTCGTGTGTGCGAGTGAGTGTGCCCCAAGTTGTCAAAGTTGTCAAGCGGAAATCCCCCTAACATCATAAAAACCCTCCACAGACATACGTGAGGGAAAATATCGAAATAACAAAATTATTGTTATTGTTTTTTTTTTCTTTTTTTTTCCTGTTTGAAGCAGAGCAGAGGAGAGGGGAAATTGCGCGGATTTGTCAGCTCTCTCAAGCGGCACGCACTTAAGTGCGTCGTGTCTTTATCCTTTTGTGTGCGGGCATGTGTTCCATTGGGCACATCAAGGATGTGTGTGTAATTTTAAAGCTCCTGACACGCATACAGGCAGCAGAATATGTGAGACGACGGCCAATTAATAATACAAAAATGCCAAATATGTGTCAGCAATAATGTGACTTGAGACAAGAATACCCAGAAATCGAATAAGGAGAGACACAAGGAGCATGTCCTAGGGGGAATCTTATGAAACATGGGTTAAGTATTCAAAATGAAAATTATTTAGGGTTTTTAATTAAGCGACATTCTTATAGAAGTCTTGAAGATAATTAAATAACAAACATAATTATAAAATCTGATTCAAATTTTAAGGCAGGTACTCAAACTCTTGAGAGCTCTTACCAAAATATTTGCGAAAACCTTTTAAATAAACAAATAAAGTTTAAAATATTAACCTTTTACCATATACATATAAGGTAAAAGCCATAGATTTTGAAATATTTCTCCTACTCGATACCTTTTTCTGGCATCCTTTTGCAAGTCAATTTCTTTTAATAAAAATAATTAATTAATCCGACTTGTGTGTGCTTCCCCTCAAGGGATTAAAATCTGGCTGCGTGTTCCCCCCACAAGGAATGCAATAAAAATTGATATACAAAGATGGCCACCACAGGACAACCGGCAGGGCCATTTGCATAAGCTGGAAATTCAAAATGAAAGAAAACTTGCTTAAAAAGCAATTTAGCTGCGGCTCCTGGTCGCTCTTTGCCTCTGTTGCAGTACAAAAAAAATTGATTTATTCGAAATTTATGCAAAAACCCAACAAGACCAAGGGAAAAGTGTATTTATTGACTCACCTGGAGTCCTGCAATCCATGCTCGCCCGACTCCTGGACACGCATCGCATACAATTCCTGCGAGAAGAGCTGCGGATACAAAAAGTTAAAGGTCGTTAGGAGGCGGTACTCTCTCGTGGCCTAATCCATTAATTAGCTTGATATGATCTGGGGGAGTCTTGAACTTACCTCGCCATTTTCGGGGGGATCTCCGTTGCCAAAGGTGGAGGCCACAACAATTAACAAGGCCTCGTGCTCAATGGAGGATATATCGTAGTCGGACATGCAATATATCTAAATGAATAAACAATTTACCGCCTTAGCATTGCGTATTATGTACTTTTTCCATCTTCCTTCCATTCTTTCCCTATTTTTCTTTTTTTTTCTGCTAGGACAGACACTTTTGTGGTCATTATATCCTGGCTCACGCATCCCACCAATCTCAATACCCGAAAGCTGGCCTAATGAGCCCCAGGCTCCTTCGAGCCAGTATCCTGTAGTTTGTCGCAGGTGTTTGCAGCTTATCTTATTTCGCCAGCCTTTTTACACACACGAGGAGAAGCTGCTCCTCCGGAACTGGACACTACCCACAAGCCGGTGCCAGCCACAAAAAAGTGTAAAAGTAAATTTCGGTTTTATGCTAATTTGTCTCATGTGGCCACGCTGGCCTTTGCACATTGGCCTAAGGTCGCAGGTTAAGTAGGGGGCAGGGAACCCCAAATGGGACTAATTTTAGAAGTAGGTTAGAACGCTTTATAATGTCAAATTAGGCCTGTCATTTGGCCATATGAAATATGTCGGGTCCGGAGCTCATTTCGGGGGTTTTATTTGCTTAAATTTGAAGAAGAATGGGGAAACTATGGTGTGTGTTTGCTGGGTATTTTAAATCTAGCTTAAGTTGTTGGAAAAGTTCTTCTTATGGGTACGAGGAAGGTTCTATTATATTATATATTTTCTGACTTAAAAGCATATGTTTTTCCTCCTTTATTTTCCCACTCACCTGTGCATTAAATGCATGTCCCAGCAGCTCACACAATTGCTTGGCATATTGCTCCGATTTACCAGTTTCGGTGGCATACAATACCGTGGCCTTGATGCGCTTCGACAAAGCCCTTCCAAATAGCTTCGATGTAAATTTCACAGCCCTGCAACAAGATAGAGAGAGAGAGAGTCAAGAGTGTTTATTGGTCAAAGATTTAAGGCCAAGACTAAAGCCAGTTAAAGCTGCGTCAGCCGCACCCAAGCCGTCATCATCATTAGACTCATAAGCCTTGATGCCGGGGGGAAAAGGGCCATAACAATCCATAGAACAGAGTACATAGAACATGGAACATAACGGTCGCCGGCTGATATAGCCACTTTGATTGACACGACATGTAATTGGAAAATTGTCTACGACTTGAAGCATACATTGATTATTGTTGTAAGGACCCCAGCACATGGTTAGTCAATAATCAAATGGGGGGAAAACGCATAAGCATAAGTATAAGCACTTTATTGCATAAAGGCTGGCGACTGGCATTGCACCCTTTTTGCACGCCTTTGCCATTTAAGGCAAAGTCGCATAAAATTTTATGCATACTGCAAAGGCACTGGGAAAACAAAGAAAAGGGGGTAAGTGGGTTTTCCTTGGCGAGAACAAGTGAGTGGAGAAAAGCCTTCTGTTGCTGCTTCAACGCCAGACATCGCTGATGTGCTTCCATTTTCTTTACTATTTCGTCTTTACTCTTATTCTGTGATTTTCATACCCTTTGTTGTAGGATATTAAATAAATACAAGCTGCAGGTGAATTGGGATAGTTAATAAGTATTAGGTAACTATTTTATATTTATCCTTTAAGTAGTTGTATATAAATTGAAGGTGATTTTTATACTTAAACTCAGATTTCAAGGTTCTTTAGGAATTTAACTCAATTGTATTGCTATTCAATAGAAAGTCTCTTTCGAAATGGAAAACTGCATTATAATGTTTATAAATTACTAAGAATCTTCTATCAACAAACACATTATATATCCCTAAAATATCCAAATATTAATGTTTTCTATCATAACCTGATTCCCTATAGAGTATTCTCCACTTCGGATTCCTACCCTGAACATTCGTATTTATTATTTTTATTTGGAAATCCATTGTTTCCTCTTCTCCTCCTGCTCTGCCTGCTCCTGACGGGGCACTATTTTTTGGGATAAGAGGCCAAATGGATGCTTATAGGCAGTTTAAATGTAATTCAATATGTCTGGCACTCCCCTCCACTTGGCAGGAGCAGGACTATCTCCTCTTTTCCTCAACGAACTTCACACGCATTACGCTGCACACTTTTGTGCGAGGACATGAATATAATTTCATTTTCATAAAGTTGTCGATGTCAGCGCTGATTTAATTCCATTTCATCTCATCAGTGCTAAGAGGCGCGGCGCGTGCTGAAACAATTAAACTTAATTATGTCGGCAGGCTGTCAGTCTCCAGCGGGATATATGTACATATATCCAGAACAGAGAGTATATATCCATATAAATGCGTAAATACTCGTGCATGTGTGATTTTTCAGTGGCATTTCCCACCCACCATTTAAGCATATTGATAAAAAGTTTCGCACTCGAAGGGACTTGACTCGATTTAATGAAAACTTCCCATTCGCAACAATTTTAATTGATAACTTTTTAATGAATTTCGGCCTGGCCATTTTGCAGTTGTTCGCGGAAAGGACTGATTGCAGTAAATTAAAATTAATTAGCTCAGTTGGAAATATGGCCGCGTGGACAACGGCATTAATATGTAACGATTTAAAGTGCGGTCGTTAAATAATCATCATCATCATTACCCTGAACGGCTCATTTAACAGCAATTTTCAGGTGGCATTTACGAATGTTTTTGCTGTATTTTTTCCGCAGTTTTTCCCTGAGTTTTTCTCTGCGCCATAATTGTGTAATTGATTTTATTTGTCATAGGACCCACAACCGCAACTGTTTGTTCGATTAATTGATGAATGGCCGAAAAGAGGTGTAAGGATAAAAGGCCACAGATTTGCATAAGCTTATGGTTTTTTTGCTTCATTTGGTTCATAGCTGTTTTGAATTTAATTAAATAAAATATAGAGTATGCACTCTATTCCGCAATAACTTTCCATTTTGTTCACTTAAAATCTACATATTTAATGTGGCTGAAAAAACTATGGTAATTAAATGGAGAGCTTAATAAAATGAAGATATGGAAAGTTGAAATAAAGCAATGAAGAATAAAAATTGCTGAGTACTTTTTATTCTACAAAAGTGTTCTCTATAATAATTTTAAATAATTTTTTGCAATGATTCTCAATTTAGCCTTTCAAGAACCAAGCCTGATAAATTTATACAACCCAATATTTCTCAATTTAGGCTGCTTTAAATTTACATATTTAATGGCTCCAAAGGCATTGCTAGACACAATTTACTTTTACCTGTTTCAGGGGCGAAACTAAGTTTTAAATGTCTTAAATTTTACCTCGAATAAAATAAAGCCGTCAAATTTGCATAACAATCAACCTCAGTGGCAAACATATGTGTGTACGCTCTAAACCCATAAACCCATCTCCCCCACAGGAGATACCGGCTAGAAAAAGGTGGAGCAGAAGCTGGATGCCTTGTCCCCGGCGAATAACATTTAAAATAACAATAACGAGGACCACAAAAACACGATGCAATGTTCCAAATTTTCCAAGCGACTTGATAACACTGGGAACGAGGAACGACGAGGAACCGGAGCAGGAGCAAGGATCCAACCCCGTGGCCATAAACCACAATCCATGTAATCTACTTAAAAGCTAATCCCTGCTGATGCCGTCATGTGACACGCTCGCACAACGAGCCAACAGGAGGATAGCCCCACGCCCATGGACAATTACGCGGGGGGCGGGAGGAGAGCCATACGTGAGTCAGGGATAGGAGTAAGGATATACCAGGAGCAGGAACATCATCAGCCGGAAGCAAAGGTCGCCGCCTCGCCTCGCCTCGCAACGCCACGTTAACAGTAAGCGGTGCCTGTAAGTACTTACCTAGCGATTTGTTTGAAATTGAATTTACGTCTTGGCTTCTTGCCCTTGCTCTCGCCGCGACCCTTCTTCCAGATGTGAGTGCGCCAGGCGGGATCCTGGTATTCGAACGAGGGCTTCAGGTAGTACAGCGCCATCTCCTGGTGGAACACCGGCGTGATGGAGCCCGACAGCGGCGGCACGATCCAAATCCAATCAGCGGGACAGCCATTCCTGGGCACAAAACAAAACAAAAAAGCAGAGAGTCCTTTCGGGTAAGTAATTGTTTGTAATTGACGAGTGGGCGGAATCCTTTGGCCCCATTCATCGGGGTCTGGAGACGGTCTGCTGGCATTCAGTAAATGCAAATGGCTGCCATTTGAAATATGGCCAAGGGTATTTTTAGTGGCCCAAATGGGAGATTAACGTTAAGTGACTTAATTGTGACCGCTGCCCCCACCGGCTGTTGCCATAAAAATAGACACGTGGCTTAGGCTTTTGATTTAGTGTTTTGCCCCAGAAGGTGAAGGTTGAAGTTGAAGGATATTTAAATGCTCAAATATACAAATTTAATTTAGAGAAGATAGCCAACAAATGTGTTTTGTTTGTTCTGACTAAAAAGGATCTATTAAACAGGATAATAGGTAGTATCTTTACCTATTATCCTGTTTAATAGATCCTTTTTTATTAATTTTAATAATAGTTTGAGATTGAAGTTAATAAAATACTATAAAAAAAGTAACTAAAAATAGTCACATCAATTAATTTACCTACAAAAAATATATTTTATGCTGGTCAATTAATTAAATTTGTAGCGAATAAATATAAACAAAAGCTTAAAAGGAATTTAACTAATGTTACAAAAAACTGTTTGTGTTATTAAATATTTACAAACAACCTACACTTTGTTATGATAAATCTCGCTGGGCGAACTCTTTAACCAAACCATAAACAAATATACAAAAAAATGTGATATATTAATTTTTGTGTTAAGCCGAAGCCTCGCGCTCCTTGACATCCTTTGAAGGCCACCTCCTCCTCCTCCTCCCTTTCGAATGTTGGCAAAAGTTTGACATATTGTGCGGCATTTATGTGTCTCGTGTGCACTTTACATAAACGCTGGCGACAGCAAATTGGAAACAATAAATTTATTTTTGCACCTGCAAAGAGTGAATGTTTGTGTGTGTGTGTGCTCTTTGGGCCAAGTCAAATAAAACACGTTAAGCCATAAACATGCGACTGGGATATGTCATAAATGCAAACTCAACTGGGCCATAAACAAACACACACACACACACAAACACCGGCGTGCAAATAGCGCCCACAGGAAACGGAAATGGATATGAATACGCAGGATACACGTCCATAATCACCGATCAGGACTTGGACTCACCTCAGCTTTGACTCATTCTCGAAATGCTTCATAAAGCTCTCGCTGGCCGTGTGGTGATCCACAATAGTCACATTGCGACTCTGATACGAATGCAGCACCGCGATATTCATCTCCACGACGGCCTTATCCTTCCACAGGGACGTCGGTGTCCGAGTGTCCAGGTTCATTTTCAGCGCCACTGTCTGGGGATTTGGATTTAAAAATATGTAAAAAAAAATTCTGTTAGTGTCTACTAATTGGAAATAGATGGGATCTGCACGAATTTCGATTATAGGCATTTCAAAATTTGTGGCCAAAATTTAATAATTACAGCCCCCTGGCTTTTCTCACACATCGGCGGCGGCAACATCATCATCATCATCAGACTGTTGACCGGACATCAATTATAGATTTAACCGCAGGCCATTGAATATTATGTTATGGAGTGGACCCATTCTGGTTAACAAGCCAAATGACTTTAAAACTGGGAAATAGCTTCTGTTTAAGGGGAATTATAATTTTAAGTGTAGGGAATATACGTAGTTTTTTTTTTATTTACTTTAATAGATGGTTCAAGCAAACTCTGACAGGCAAGTATGACATGCATTTCCCTAGTACTTCTCTAATGGCATTTTCATGCTGTTGAAAGGCTAATTAAATAGGTAATTAAATCACATAACGATAGATCGAATTTTAACTGCATTTATTTCCATGTTATCATCAGGTAAGTAAAATGTGCAATAATTCCCCCTCAAAGCAGCTTAAAGCCGTTGTGCCACCTTCTTAAGTGCTCTTAACCAGTTTGCAGCATCATTGCCTCCCTTTTTGCCACATTGTTGCTGGCGGGGTAAAAAGAATTCCGGGAACAAAAAGTGCTTTATGCGAGGACAACAGGAATGATAAAGGCGGGACTGGCTCCGCCTCCATCTTCTCATTCCGCATATTATGTGGCCTCATAATGAAATAAGCGCCACATAGCGCGACAACGGCGACAAAGGCGAGCACATCAAGGACATTCGGCAAGGACAATGTCAAGGGGAAGCGGATACCACGGAGATATCAATACGGGAATTACTATATATATACATATATATTCAGGAGAAGCCACTCTTTACAACTTACCTCCAGCATATTGCGGCGATTTGTGTCGCATAAATTCCGGCAGCCAATCTCCGTGGACATGTACCAGCCACTGAATGTGGTGGCCGTAAACTGGATGCCGCCCACATCGAACAGCATACTGGACACGGCGGGCAGGGCGTACCATCGTAGTCCCAGCTCTGTGAACCATTCGAATCTGCAACGAGGAGAGCAAGGTTGGGAATAGTTGTGGGTAGTTTAAACACTCCTCCTTTTTTTGGGCACATTTTGGTTTGATATTTCAGAGAACGACGGCCACGCGATTGTGGATGCAAATCCATTGGCTATATCCACATGTCAACCCTTGGCCAGCTGATGTTCGTCTCTGACATAAGCTTGACCGGGGTTTTTTTAAGGTAATGAAAATCACAGCATTTAAGGTGGAAAGAAAATGATATGCTATATTTAAAACAGGGATAATTTTTAAAATTAAACACAGAGCTAGACATTTCCTTATCTAGAACTACGTATATTTAATTATTTTTAGGTATACTTCTAGTAGTTATCTACATATTACTATTGGTTCTATGATTTATGTACAACAAGCTATACTAATATATTATTTGATTAATAAACTATATTAATTCCAGTAATTATCTACATGAACTCTACAGCTTCTACTAATGATCTATGTTCTAAAAATCTATTTTCTATCTATCTATTTTAACAATTATGCCATTTATTAACTAAGCCGCAAAACTATATTAGACCAATTATTATTACGTTGCATTTTTCCAAATAATGAATTTTTAGGTACATTTTACTTAAAATATTTCTATACCTTAACATTTTTGATGCAGATTTTCCCTGCAAGTGTATAGAAATTTCGGGTTCCTGAAATAAGCCTTCTTGTTTTCTTTAAGTCATTAATTAACGCACATTTTCTCTTTAAAAATCATTAAAACTATACTTCCCACAAAGAAATAGTCTCTTAAAACAAGTTATAGCCAAGAGACACGTTTTCACGTAAATTGGGTCTTGACATAAAGCATACATAATAATTGAATAATATTTATTATTAATATGGGAATTATGAGTGCAAAAAACCAACGTAATTATGGTTCAACGATTTTATAGTTTTTGAATAAACTTTAAGCATTATTTTTCACGTTTTTATAAAGTATTTAAGCTTAAGTCCATGTCACAATTCCAACAAACTGCAACCATGAAGACATGGATCGTTCTACTCGCTTTAATAGCCTTTCTAGACCAATCGATGGGTCAAACCCAACGGACAAGGATTACTCGGAATAGAAACCACCAAAAAACAGTTAAAAGTATTAAGCAAATGATGGCCAATACAGGTGCCAGATATATTCCGGCAGCCAGAAGACAATCAGTGGCCACAGAGATCCTGGGAAACGATGATAACTTGGAGTACTTTGGCGAAATATCAGTTGGGACACCGCCGCAAGTTTTCAATGTGATATTTGATACAGGATCGTCCACCTTGTGGTTCCCGAGTGTCAAGTGCTTCACTTGCAGTCCCCAAAGGATGTATAATTCCAGTGCCTCCAGTTCGTATGTTCCGGAGGGACATAACTTTTCCATTCCCTACGGAAGTGGGAGTCTAAAGGGATTCTTCTCCATTGATACTGTCCGCATGTCAGGCTTGACTGTCAAGTCTCAGGTATTTGGTGAGGCCACCTCAGAGACGGATTCATTCTCTGGCATGGGAATCCTGGGACTGGCCTTCAACGATCTCAACTTCGGCATAAACACACTGTGGGACAACATGATTGAGCAGAAGTTGGTCAGGCATCCGGTGTTCTCCTTCTACCTCAGTCGCAAAGGAACCTCTGACTTTGGCGGTGAAGTCATCTGGGGCGGCATCGACCATCGGATCTACAGCGGCTACCTCACCTACGTGCCGGTCTCTATGCCTGAATATTGGCAGTTCACCGTGAACTCCGTGGATATTGGTAGGGAGTACGGAGACCGAGTTTGCACGGGATGCCAGGCCATTGCTGACACTGGGACCAGTTTACTTGTGGTTCCAGAGCCTGCCTACCGGAAGATCAATCTTCTCTTAAATGCCACCGACGATGGAGATGGCTTGGCCTTTGTGCCCTGCAAAAGTGTTTGTTATCTGCCCAATGTCTATCTGGATATTGGTGGTACTATCTTCACTCTGATGCCTAAGGACTATCTCATCAGAGCAAAAAGTAATGGGCGGCCTGTGTGCGTTTCTGGCTTTGAGTATCTGCAGGGAAATCTGTACTGGATTCTGGGTGATATCTTCATAGGCAAGTTCTACACGGTGTTCGATATGGGCAATGAGAGGATTGGCTTCGCTGAGGTCAACGAGGGACCAAGGTTTGATACGAGGTACTATTTATAAAAAGTGGATTTATATCCGTATTTAAAATAAATAAATATATGGTTTTAAAGTCGTATTTTCTAGAGCCAGAATATACTTTATGACCTTTAAATTTTATTTCAAAAGGGTTCTTCTTTTAAGAGTTTTACGGACTTAGTTGTATCAATAACACTTCAATTTAATAAAAAAACATTCTGCTTAGCAACTGACTTAATCTCTTGCCTAATATATTTCGTAAGAAAAAATTATGTTTTCTCTTAAATAAAGCTATTCCCAGACTAAATGTTTAATGCATATTCTTAACCTAACCAAACGGAGTCAGCTCCCAGGTTTATGTGATGACAAATCCACTGCAAACACAGCTGAATTTTTACAATTAATTAAGACAAACAACAAATGCTCTGATACTCTTTTATGTCTATATTTTTAGTGACTAAAAATGGATTTTGATAACGTCATTAAAGTGCCAGACCCTTTGGCAAATGGAAAGTTTTGGCGTTATTTTTGGCCGCGTGTAAACATTGAAGTATGGGAAACAATTCTATTTAAATTCCACAACCTTTTCGAGTTTAGTACCATTTGAATTCTATCCGCAGAGATATGAAGCTGTTGTTGATCGTCTTAATAGCTCTGGTCGGGATTGGCCAGTCGGCTGCCGAGCTGAAGCGTCTGCAGCTCCATGCCAACAGTAACTTCACCAGGACCCATGGCAGCGTAAAGGCACAGAAGACCTTGCTGGCAGGCAAGTACTCCTTTTTAGTGGAGGCCACCACCAGTTCCTCCTCCTCCGCTACGAAGACCACCGAAACCCTGCACAACTATGCTGACAGCGAGTACTACGGCCTGATTAGTCTGGGAACTCCCAAGCAGAACTTCAACATTCTGTTTGATACTGGATCCTCCAATCTCTGGGTGCCGAGCTCCAAGTGTCCAAAGTCAAATACGGCTTGCCAGATGCACAACAAGTACAACTCGGCCAAGTCCAGCACCTACAAGGAGAATGGTGAATCGTTTGCCATTCAGTATGGAACGGGCAGTCTGTCCGGCTTCCTCTCCACGGATACCCTGAGCTGGGCTGGCATCGAGGTCAAGGATCAGACATTTGGCGAAGCCATGACTGAACCGGGAAGCACCTTCGTACTTGCTCACTTTGCTGGCATCCTGGGTCTGGCCTACAAGTCGATAGCCGAGGATGGAGTACCAACCGTGTTCGACAACATGATTTCCCAGAACCTGCTAGACGAACCAATCATCTCATTCTATCTCAAGCGCGATGGAACTGCCGTGCAAGGCGGTGAGGTTATCCTAGGTGGAGTTGACTCTAGTCTCTACACCGGCAGCCTCACCTGGGTGCCCGTCTCCAAGAAGGCCTACTGGCAGTTCACCGTCACTCACATCAAGAGCGAAGGTGTGGTGCTTTGTTCTGGATGCCAGGCAATTGCCGATACAGGAACCTCCTTAATCGTGGTCCCTCTGGGGGCCTATAGGAAGATCGTTTGGTTGCTAGGTGCCTCAACCAATAGTGCTGGCGAGGCCTTTGTCCCTTGTGGACGCCTTGCATCTTTGGCCAAAATCAATCTGGACATTGGTGGAACCATCTTCACCCTGGCCCCCAGGGATTACGTGGTTAAGCTGACGGAGAATGGCAGAACCTACTGCATGCTGGCCTTTACCTATATGTCGGGGAACAGTCTGTGGATCCTGGGGGATGTGTTTATAGGAAAATTCTACACGGCATTCGACAAGGGTGATAACCGAATTGGTTTCGCCAGAGTTGCTGATTATTGAACGAGTTTATTTTCACTTTGTTTATTGAAGAGGTCAACTTTTTAAATAAATAATATAAAGAGTAAAGCATACAATGTATAAAAACTTAAATTTTTACTTAAACAAAACATGGTTTAAGAATAAAAACAACTTTGTATCTTAACTTATAGAGCATGTTGTGACTTCCGGGGAAAATTAGAAAATAAATCATTTGATTTCCCCTGAATAAACATCACTTGGCATGTGTAAAATCTGCATTTATGGATGCATCTCCCTCTGGTCTACTCACTTGGGATGACTCAGCGGCACTTCCAATATCAATTCCGGCGGGTAATCAAAGTAGTCCGGATCATGACCGTTGGCCGATACCACCAACGGCAGTATGTCCCACTCGGTGCCCTTGCTCTTCCATCCCAGCTTGGTGCAGACCTGATGGATAGAGATGGGATTGGACATCAAATAAATGTGAATCGGAATCGAAAATCGACATGAGGCCGCTGGCGGCGGCGGGCATAAAAAGTGACATGTGTAAAAATAAATGGAGATACTTTCGTATTGGGCTGCCTAGCTTGGTTTATATGCAAATACATTGGGGCGAGGGCGGCATTTGTGGAGTTTGCTGAACCCACTGCCAATCCCGCATATGCCACCCATTCCGTGGCAACATCTGCTGCCGCATTTGTGCCCTCGTATTTATTGACAGCTTTGTTGTTTGTTCGGTTTTTGCGTATTTAAAAAGAGATTTATTACAACGAGTTATAGAGCGAACTTGCTGGCAGCCTCTCTGGGGCTTTTCCAACTTGTTGGTTCGACAAAGGTCGCATCCGTCGGATAGCCCACACTTCCCGGAAAACGATGGAGGAGACAGATTTAAAAGGCAGGCCGCCAGGCTGGCAGCAATTGCGGCGTGTAAATATTGTGATGGCTGAGGAAAAATGTATTTATGCGAGTGCGATATGTAAATTGATAGCTGGATTATGCCACGGCAGCATGTGTAATAAATAAGGCCAAATGTATTTTGGACCTGGCCGAAACGTGCTCGAGTCGAGTATATAATTGGCAGTTGAAATGGACAAGAAAAGGTGGAATAAATCCCACCCATGACCGTGTATACATATATTTAATTATGATAAAAAACTGTCAAATAAAGGGAGTTTCTTTAATGTTCAAAATTGCTGTATACCTCTAATTAAATCAATACTTTTAAAGGTCTATAGTTTTTATTATGTTATATAAGGCCTACGATTCTTATTTGAAATCTTCGTAAAGTAAAGACTTACCTCTGTAAATTCCAGGTTCATGGGATCCCCAATAATTTTTCCATCTGCCTGCTTATAGCCAGCATATGATATTAACTGATTATTCCAAATGCGATAATCGTGTTTGGCATCTGTGCGTTGGGGAAATATCGTGATGGCCGATCTGGAAGAATAACAAAAAGATGCAATCAATTTATGCGCCAAATCAAAACATTAACAATTTTCCGCGAACAGCGTTAAAGTTCGTACAAAGTTCAATCGGAAACTTTTCCGAAACAACGCTTTCCCTTCTAATCTGCATGAAAAGTCAGAAGTGCAATTTCGAGTGGAGGGAATGGAATGATTTTTGGATGGCGCCTGAAATATTCATGGCAACAAATTGGCACTCCTCTCTCGATTCGGCCAATTAGTAGGGCAAAAACATAATTTGCCAATCATTTTCCGCAAACACATCCACGAACGTACTGACGCCTGCCGCGCTTTCGAGTAGATTATTGGAAAATTTGAAATTATGAGCCAGAAAGCATACATATGTATATTTGGGGAAATATTGAAAATTATGTACAGCTCTAGTTGCGATTAGCGAGTAACTAAAAATTCTCTGTGTTCCATAATTATTATAAGCCAGGCAATTAAGCCGGACTGGGAAATGTGCAAATATAATGAGTATTGTGAGTGTTAATTGTTCAAGGGAAATGTGTTTCCAATCAGCAAATATACATACTTATTACAGCTTTTTGTTCTGAATATTAATATTTTTAATCTTAATTTTAAAGCTAGACCTTACCTCAGGTTGCCTTTATTTGTGGCATATTTAATGTGGTTGCAAATGGCCTCAAACATGCCGCTCGTAGTGGTCACATAACGACAATCAAATACCTATGGAAACAACGCAAAACATACATATATAGAAACATTAAGCATTAAATTGTTCTTTCCCCCAAGGGGAGCTTTTCATGTGAAAATTCAGCTTAAAATCTGGCTTCTGGCAGCCAGTTAGAAAATATAAAATCAACGGTATTTGCTGTGCACAAAACTAAGAGTCAAAACAATTGTTTTTTCATGAATTTTAAGTGCCAGTGTGGGGGAGGGAGGAGGCTCTAGAGCTGTCCAACGGGGCGTATGATAAATGTGACATAAATTTCTATGTAACTTCCACATTTGCTTTGTTTTCTGGCATGAGGTCCCTTTAATAGAGCGAGAGTGAGTGGGGACAGTTGTTCACAACTTGTTCATACATTGAAACCCTTTTTCAATTATTACGCTTCAATAAATTTTTTCAGCAATATTTCAGCTTTTCACTCTCGATTCCCCTTAGCCCTGTTTTATCTCCTGCTGGCTGGGCCTTTACAATTGTTTTTTTCACACCTGCTTTTGTGGCTTTTACCTATTTTTTGGGGATCTGAACTGGACTAGAGCCAGAGTCCTTAGAGTTGGCTTTATGGGATTTCTGTGTGGCAGCCGACACTCGAAACTGGGAATTCATTTTCTGGCTTCCAAGGAAGCGACCCGGGTGTGCCCCTCTTCATTCGATTTTCTGCTGTGTTGGTTTCTGGCCTTGTTTTTGTTGTCATCGTCCCAAGGGGGCGTTGCCAATGTAAAACGAGTTTCCTAATTAAGTTTGGAAAGCGGTCGAAACCGAAAACCCTTTTTAAGTGCTTTGCCCACACATATCTCATTTCATTTAAAGCAAAGTTTTCCACACCCTTTTTTTTTATTCTCTTCTATGAAAAAACATGTTTAAGTGGTATTGGATAACTTTTGCCGGCTCTTTTTTAATTTAATGAAATATCACATGATAAAGTTAAATTATGTAGGAAAAGGGAAAATGTTTTTACTAAATGTAACATTTTGAAAGCATAGCAGAGGATTTTATGCTCTAAAAGACAGGGATGTTTTTTATACAAATTATTATTAAGTATACAAAGTTTGGAACGGAAAACTTTGTTTTGTGGAAAAAAAAACAGAGAAATAATCATCCTTCTTAGGCATACAAATCTAAATTATAGAAATAGAAAAAATATTGGAATATATATTATTACAAAAAAGTATGGCCAAAGGAACAATTAATTAACAATTGCAAGCTGCAAGGGTATATATACTTCAACTTCCCGAAGTTAGTTAACTTTAGTGCTAAATTTCTTAAAAATTCAGGCGAAAAGCATACACTTGTTTCGTCATATATCTTCATATATAATTTGCTTGGCAAGTCACACACATTGAAGGTGACTTTAGTGTCACCTTTCCTTACTTGTCTCCTGGAAAATTTGTTTTCTTCTCCTCCTCCTTCTTTCCTCCTAAAAGTTCTCAGTTTCCCCTAATATATACACGCAAGTCATTCAAATGGAAATGCAAATCTGTTCACACATTGCCAGGCGCAGACACACAGCCAACTATACTGCTGATCATCATTATAATTTGTATTTGTGTATATACTACCCCCTAGGAGGAGGAATATTTCTTTTTTGGTTAAATTAAAATTTACGAGGATTTGCATTTCAAATGACTGCTCTTTGTTTCTTGTCTAGCTTGATTCCCTTCCCTGCTCTGACTTCTTGTCGCGCCTCCGACATTTGTTTTGGTAGAAGATGGCATAAATCCAGAATAATGTGGCAGAGACATAAGCACACATATTATATGTATATATCTGTGATTTGTGCTCTGACAAATTTGCTTGACTATTTCGTTGAATTGCATACATTTAAGCCCTGATGAATTGTTATAATATTTTGTGTTGGATGATGAAAGCTTAGCTACGAGAGGTCATGAACTTAGTTGAGGGAGCTTGAAATCGATGTTGTATGTAGCTTGGTTTTCTCTCAGATTAATATAATACATTCTTGAATATTGGAGTATTTTCCAGGATTTTCAAGGACCCACCTGCAGCTTGGACCACTGTATGCGGCCAATGCAACGAGAAGAATTGCGCCAGGCCAATTTGGCTCCGTAAATCAGCTCGGTTTCGGTTAGCTGATAATGGCCCGTGGCCTCGATGCTTTGGCGCACCTGTTTCCATCGCGTTTCGTGGGCGGTGGATGATGTACTGCAACCGAGATAAAGGATAACAAAAGTCACTCGTAGCATGATTAATTATATATGCAGAAAAACCCAAACCATTTGGAAAAAAAAACCTGTTGATGAAACGGGCTTTTAGAATAATGGTTATGATAGCATTAATTAAAGCTATGCCCTGTTAAATGCTAATTAAATTTATTCCACCCAACTCACCGCTTTATCGAGGTAAAGTATTGCTCCAAAAAGTCCTTGGCATGCTCCAGGATCAGGTCCGTCTTGCGAGCCTCCACCGCCGCATTTCCAATGTGCATGATGCTGCCCGTACAGGTGGCCTTCGAGCAGGAAAGGATCTGCGGATGAACAAACAAATAAGTCATCAAGTTGACAATGAAAACAGTTTGTGCCGCTGCCTTATTTTTTGACAGCTTTAATTAAAGAAACATAATTGCTCATTTAGGTAATTAAATTTTTATTGGCAATTCCCCTGCAGGGCTGCCAAGGAAAACGAGAAGTTGGCAGATAGAGGGACAGATAGAGAGCAACAATGCCAGCAAAGATGAAAATGAAATTAATATAAAAAAAGAAGAAGCAAGGAAAATGAAGGGACAAAAAACAGAGGCATAAGCAAAAGTCCTGGAATCAGCAGAGCTCTCCATTCGGAGGGAAAACGTTTAAAAAGCATTTCACTGTCAATTGCGGATGCTGCCTCCCACTGCCTGTCCTCCTCAGCTTTTCTTTCCTGTGAACGCTTTTCCCCCGTAACGTAAGCCAGCAGCTTCTTGTGTTTTTTTATGATGCGTGTCGTTGTAATTTTCATTTGCACTCCCTCTCGACGCACCTCACCTTTTCCTTTACCTGTCTCGGTTTATTTTCCCGACGGTTTAATTTACTCAACGCCGCACTCTCTCTTCCCCTCTCTAGGCAAGACGACACTACAATCCACCCAAGACACCCGCGGTCATAATTAGTTTGTTTTTCCAGGCAGTTTAGCTCTTGAATTGGCTTAGCCAAGTGCGGCATAAAAACCGCTCAAGTGTCGCACAGTCTAACTAAAAAATTTCATGCCGCGTTGCTGCTGCAATTATGTCACTCATACGCAGTGTGTGCCACAGAATCAGCAACTTGGCGAAGTTTACGAGACAATTCCTTGCTAAATTGCGGGGTAGAAGTTGATGGTAAAAGGAGTAAGTCAACTGTTTGAGGATTAGGTGATGAAGTGAGCTCCAAGAAATTAAGTGGATTAAAAGGGGAAACGATTGAGTTGTCGGTTGTTAAGTCTATTTAAAGGGAATAGCTAAAGTTCAAGCTCTGTAAGTTAAGTTATTAAAAGCATAAATAAAAAGATTGTTTGTGTTTGAATTATTTGTATAAGAAATCTTAAATAAAAATTAAATAGAAATCCTGAAAAGCAATTTAACATTTTGGTATTTTATATGAGTAATTCTTTGAGTCGATATTTACCTAAATTTAATGTCACAATTTTGATTATAAATAAAATTTTAAAAATAAAAACCCATAAAGCCCCACTCGGAAATGACTCCTTCACAGAACTACAATCTTCTGACTGAACCTATAATACCATTGTTTTAGTCGATATTTCCCTATATTTTATATACCAATTTTGTTAATAACTCAAATTTAAAAAAGTCATAACTCTGCCAAAAATGCATTAATTTCAATTCGGAAACCTCTCCTATGTTAGTTTTTATTATGGCAACAAAAATACATACTCAATTTAAGATCTAAATTTTTGTCGATTTTAGACAATTTTAATGATGTAACCCCTTATCTTTTTTTGCAAAAATGGACAAAATTTTCAAAAAATTTTTTTCCTCTGAACATAGTTAGATCGATTCAGCTGTTGATGCTGATCAAGAATATATATGATTTATGGGGTCGGAAATGGCTCCTTCACAGTTTTAAAGGCTTCCGACTAAACGTTGAGTCAATATTTATCTTTATTTTATATGGCAATTTTGTCTTTAAACCAAATTTTAAGAAATTCACAACTCAACCAAAAATGCATTAATTTCAATTTGGAAACCTTTCCTATGTTAGTTTTTATTATGGCAACAAAAATGCATACTCAGTTTACTCGGAAATAAGTCCTTCACAGAACTACAAGCTTCTGACTGAACCTATAATACCATTGTTTTAGTCGATATTTCCCTATATTTTATATACCAATTTTGTTAATAACTCAAATTTAAAAAAGTCATAACTCTGCCAAAAATGCATTAATTTCAATTCGGAAACCTCTCCTATGTTAGTTTTTATTATGGCAACAAAAATACATACTCAATTTAAGATCTAAATTTTTGTCGATTTTAGACAATTTTAATGATGTAACCCCTTATCTTTTTTGCAAAAATGGACAAAATTTTCAAAAAAAAAATTTTCTCTGAACATAGTTAGATCGATTCAGCTGTTGATGCTGATCAAGAATATATATGATTTATGGGGTCGGAAATGGCTCCTTAACAGTTTTACAAGCTTCCGACTAAACGTTGAGTCAATATTTATCTTTATTTTATATGGCAATTTTGTCTTTAAACCAAATTTTAAGAAATTCACAACTCAACCAAAAATGCATTAATTTCAATTCTGAAACCTTTCCTATGTTAGTTTTTATTATGGCAACAAAAATGCATACTCAGTTCACACGGAAATTAGACCTTCACAGAACTACAAGCTTCTGACTGAACCTATAATACCATTGTTTTAGTCGATATTTCCCTATATTTTATATACCAATTTTGTTAATAACTCAAATTTAAAAAAGTCATAACTCTGCCAAAAATACATTAATTTCAATTCGGAAACCTTTCCTATGCCAGTTTTTATCAGGGCAACAAAACTGCATACTCAATTTAAAATCTAAATTTTTGTCGATTTTTGACAATTTTAATGATGTAAACCCTTATCTTTTTTTGCAAAATGGACAAAATTTTCAAAAAAAATTGTTTCCTCTGAACATAGTTAGATCGATTCAGCTGTTGATGCTGATCAAGAATATATATGATTTATGGGGTCGGAAATGGCTCCTTCACAGTTTTACAAGCTTCCGACTAAACGTTGAGTCAATATTTATCTTTATTTTATATGGCAATTTTGTCTTTAAACCAAATTTTAAGAAATTCACAACTCAACCAAAAATGCATTAATTTCAATTCGGAAACCTTTCCTATGTTAGTTTTTATTATGGCAACAAAAATGCATACTCAGTTCACACGGAAATAAGTCCTTCACAGAACTACAAGCTTCTGACTGAACCTATAATACCATTGTTTTAGTCGATATTTCCCTATATTTTATATACCAATTTTGTTAATAACTCAAATTTAAAAAAGTCATAACTCTGCCAAAAATGCATTAATTTCAATTCGGAAACCTTTCCTATGCCAGTTTTTATTAGGGCAACAAAACTGCATACTCAATTTAAAATCTAATTTTTTGTCGATTGTTGACAATTTTAATGATGGAACCCCTTATCTTTTTTTGCAAAAATGGACAAATTTTTAAAAAAATGTTTTTCCTCCGAACATAGCTAGCTCGATTCAGCTGTTGATGCTGATCAAGAATATATATGATTTATGGGGTCGGAAATGGCTCCTTCACAGTTTTACAAGCTTCCGACTAAACGTTGAGTCAATATTTATCTTTATTTTATATGGCAATTTTGTCTTTAAACCAAATTTTAAGAAATTCACAACTCAACCAAAAATGCATTAATTTCAATTCGGAAACCTTTTCTATATTAGTTTTTATTATGGCAACAAAAATGCATACTCAGTTTACTCGGAAATAAGTCCTTCACAGAACTACAAGCTTCTGACTGAACCTATAATACCATTGTTTTAGTCGATATTTCCCTATATTTTATATACCAATTTTGTTAATAAGTCAAATTTAAAAAAGTCATAACTCTGCCAAAAATGCATTTATTTCAATTCGGAAACCTTTCCTATGTTAGTTTTTATTATGGCAACAAAAATGCATTCTCAGTTTACTCGGAAATAAGTCCTTCACAGAACTACAAGCTTCTGACTGAACCTATAATACCATTGTTTTAGTCGATATTTCCCTATATTTTATATACCAATTTTGTTAATAACTCAAATTTAAAAAAGTCATAACTCTGCCAAAAATACATTAATTTCAATTCGGAAACCTTTCCTATGCCAGTTTTTATTAGGGCAACAAAACTGCATACTCAATTTAAAATCTAATTTTTTGTCGATTGTTGACAATTTTAATGATGTAACCCCTTATCTTTTTTTGCAAAAATGGACAAATTTTTAAAAAATGTTTTTCCTCCGAACATAGCTAGCTCGATTCAGCTGTTGATGCTAATCAAGAATATATATGATTTATGGGGTCGGAAATGGCTCCTTCACAGTTTTACATGCTTCCGACTAAACGTTGAGTCAATATTTATCTTTATTTTATATGGCAATTTTGTCTTTAAACCAAATTTTAAGAAATTCACAACTCAACCAAAAATGCATTAATTTCAATTCGGAAACCTTTCCTATGTTAGTTTTTATTATGGCAACAAAAATGCATTCTCAGTTTACTCGGAAATAAGTCCTTCACAGAACTACAAGCTTCTGACTGAACCTATAATACCATTGTTTTAGTCGATATTTCCCTATATTTTATATACCAATTTTGTTAATAACTCAAATTTAAAAAAGTCATAACTCTGCCAAAAATGCATAAATTTCAATTCGGAAACCTTTCCTATGTTAGTTCTTATTATGGCAACAAAAATGCATTCTCAGTTTACTCGGAAATAAGTCCTTCACAGAACTACAAGCTTCTGACTGAACCTATAATACCATTGTTTTAGTCGATATTTCCCTATATTTTATATACCAATTTTGTTAATAACTCAAATTTAAAAAAGTCATAACTCTGCCAAAAATGCATTAATTTCAATTCGGAAACCTTTCCTATGCCAGTTTTTATTAGGGCAACAAAATTGCATACTTAGTTGAAAATCTATTTTTTTGTCGATTTTTGACAATTTTAATGATGTAACCCCTTATCTTTTTTTGCAAAAATGGACAAAATTTTCAAAAAATGTTTTTCCTCCGAACATAGTTAGATCGATTCAGCTGTTGATGCTGATCAAGAATATATATGATTTATGGGGTCGGAAATGGCTCCTTCACAGTTTTACAAGCTTCCGACTAAACGTTGAGTCAATATTTATCTTTATTTTATATGGCAATTTTGTCTTTAAACCAAATTTTAAGAAATTCACAACTCAACCAAAAATGCATTAATTTCAATTCGGAAACCTTTCCTATCTTAGTTTTTATTATGGCAACAAAAATGCATACTC